TTCCGAAATCGTCCGAGGGGCCGTTCTTGGACAGCTGGGCAACCTGCGGCAGCACGAACGTCGGCATGGTGAGGTTCGAGAACGTCAGGGCCGACAAGAACCTGGGCTTGCGGAGTGGCGGAGTGGCTGCAGGAAGTTTCTCGCAAGTAGAGAATCTATGGCATGCATGCTTGCAAGTGTCAGCGCATGCATGCAAGCGGGCTGGGTGCCTGTGCGTCAGCTTACTACTGCGAGTGCTGGCGTGCCCAGCATTGCGCCTGCAAGGCTAGCCGTGCGGAGCGCCACGAGCCGTGCATACAGCGAGCTGGCCCGGTTCGGTGGGTCAGGTTCGCGAGCGCTGCGTACCGTTCTTGGCGTCTCTCTTTGTTTGCTTACATGCTATGGGCCATGCTATGTTATCGACATGCTCGGCTTCTTGAGTCTATCTCTTTGCTTTGCTTGGCTCTGGGGCGAGGCAGTCCCTGCCCTCCGATCGTCAGAGCGGACCCATGCACCATTTTGGTTGGATGGGCGAAGCTGTGCTTGGGCATGTGCCCGGAAAGTGTGGGTCCCGGTGAGTCTCTCTCTCCCAGGCATGGGGCATGGGGCGGTCCTCCCCCGCACGCGAACGCGCCCCTCAAGGTCTGGCAGGTTTTTGCACCCCCCACGCACGGGCTTTGCCCGAGAGGGCTCTACACTCAACACAGTTACTAGGCTCGCCACAACAAAGGTCCTGTGCAAAGCTGAAACACCCGTGACACGTTCCTTGCTGCACTCAACTTGGGAGTCTATCTCTGCGAAAGAGGATTTTCCGCCATACTTCGATGGACGTGTTCTTTGTGAACTTGTTGTGTCGTCTCCCTGCAAGAGACCGGGCTGCTAGAGGCAGCAGAGAGATCGAGAGCGAGAGAGAGAGAGAGAGAGAGACAGAGAGACAGAGAGACAGAGAGACAGAGAGACAGAGATCGACAGAGATCGACAGAGAGAGAGAGGAAGAGAGAGAGAGAGACAGAGAGAGAGAGAGAGAGACAGAGAGAGAGAGACCAAGAGGGAACCAGAGAGAGAGCCAGAGCGAGAGGGAGAGGGAGAGCGAGGGAGTGGGGAGGGAACTGCGTGCTGACCCGGGACCAAGTCGGCTGATTCCAGATCTCCGCCTCCTTTGGGAACCAGGCCTGCACAGCGACTTTGGAAGAGTTCTTGCTTACGGCAACCTCACCTCACAAAGGAGGGCCAACACACGTTGGCCTGCAGCATGGAAAAGTTCAGGAATGCTCGCATTGCCGTCGTTGTCCAGGGAGTGTTGAACCACCTCTCTCACCCACGGTAACGCGTCCGCTGGCACCCACACATGCACATACGGCGCACATACGCACGCAAGGCAAGGTGCTGC